CAGCTGCTGTTGAAACTGATCAGTTTCAGCAGCGGCTGAATCTGGATGCCAGTTCCGACTTACATACAGATTCAACTTAAGAACAAACCTACAGTCCCTATCTTGTACGTAACCCGGGGACTGCCTGTATACTGTAATGTTTTAGTTTTTTAAAGCCTTTTTTACCCTTTTTGCTCAATTCAGCTGCTGCCGCTGTTACCTTGTGACTCATTTTTTGCCGAAGTTTCAGCAGCGGCTGAATCTGGATGCCAGTTCCGACTTACATACAGATTCAACTTAAGAACAAACCTACAGTCCCTATCTTGTACGTAACCCGGGGACTGCCTGTATACTGTAATGTTTTAGTTTTTTAAAGCCTTTTTTACCCTTTTTGCTCAATTCAGCTGCTGCCGCTGTTACCTTGTGACTCATTTTTTGCCGAAGCTCACTCACTAGGCTCTTGCCATTTTGATTCCAGACTATCAGGAGTGCCAGACTATTGGATGCCGGACTATTGGAATTTTACAGTAATATGTTTCTTGGGGCTAAATAGCATCTAATGGGCATTCTGCACCTGCTGCAGTAAGTCAATCTGGAAGTCACAAAGGCATCGATTATTGGAGTGGAGTTTGGGCTTGGCAGAAAAGGTTACAAACGTCCAAATGCTTCATGTGTTGCTTGTGTTTTCTTTCTCCTTGCACGTTCACACTTGTTTCTTCCCTTTCTCGGCCATGCTCCAAAGTGCACTTTTCATCCCAGTGCCCTCTGTGTTCTATTTCCACCTCTGCCCAAAGAAACCAAAAGCTCCCTCCTAGGAACCATCCATCCATCCAACCTGCCAACCATCACGAATAACTATAATCCACTCTTTATCCAGTGTCTTGCTGCATTTAAGACTGCACCATTGCTCAAAAATCTGTCAGCTATGAGTATCTGGTTGAAAGCTTGACTCTTTGGCTTGGTGCATCCCGACCCATGATGTCCTCTCTCATCAGGGTTTCTAAATTGACTCAAATACCAGAAGTCATCCTCTATGCTGGAAAGAAATACTGTGTGATGCTTGCTAGCCATTGGCTATGGAGGAAGTGCATTCTCTACCTTGCATCATGTACAGTATGGTTAGTACCTGGCCTTCCTCGTTTAAATCTTGAGCAAAGAAATTCGTTAATAATTTATTAACTATAGAATATTTTGGAAGGGTGCTGGGTGGCAGTCATAATTTCTGCTGCTACAGTATGTTAAAAAAAGGACAATAAAGTAGGCTCTTTTTGTTGGAAAAGAAGATTTCATGTTATCTGTGTTTGCAGGCTTTCTGGCTCATGTGCTGGAGGAATCCTTGCTGCGGGGGTGTTTTCATTTTCTCGTCTAACATGGCAGTGGTCCATTGCAGCCGAGGTTTTTAGCTTAAACAATCTGTTTGTGGGGCTGCTTATGGCACTTACTGTACATTTTGAGGAGGCAGCCGCTGCGAAGGAGAGATCAAAGGTAACCTGTTTTGATCCAAGTAAATAATATTTGTTTTAACATTTATTTATCATGTGCGTGCCTTGTTGGTTTTGAATTATTTTGTTTGGTTTAAAAATTAAGGGCCAGATCTTCAAACGAGCTAAGCTCTTGGTGTTCTGAATGGAAGCTGCGGGATGCTGAGTGTGTCTGACAGTCTGGCCAGACTAGGTAGATTTCAAGCTTCTAAAAATACAGCCACTTATGAAGGCTCTAAGTCAGAGTCATTGGGTGCTGTACAAATGGAAAATTATGATGCAAACAGAGAAAAGTGGCTTTCATTGAAATTTTCTACAGAAAAGTGCAACTTTTTTTAGTTTTCAGGTTCTTATTTTTAAATTAGAAGTCTCTATTTTCCATGGGAACTAGTACACACAAATATTAAGTTTAGTTTAAATCCCCCATTTTCTTTTGCAAGTCTGGATGGAAAACTTTGATCAGCTTTGAAAGTTTGGCTCATACATCTGAGATTACACACTCCATGCAATGGTGCATCCAGACAGTTTTTAAAATCTGATAGTGTTTTCTCTCCACACTACCTAAGCAAACTGAGGTCACATTTCTTCTTCTTTTATCAACTGTTTCTCATGACCACTGTAAATTCTCTGAATAAAATTAGTTCTTTAAAAATAACTCAGATTTTTAGACGCTCAGACTAATTCTGCGCTGCTGTAATGGGTTCTCCGAATCATATTTGTTCCCTGGCTGGTGACAGAATAGGGCTTTTTTATTTGGCCTCAAACATCACAAAGAACAATTGTTTTATTGGTTACCACCATTTCTGGATTGCTGACAGCTCTATTGCACCAAGATGTGGTTGACGTTCTCAGAGCCATCCAAGGGATTCACATTCCCAATTTCCAGTGGAAGTTAAGGACATGATTTTCAAAAGGGACTAATGGTTTTGATTGCTTCAACATTTGGAGTATCCTACTATGTGTACCTAAAAGGAGGTTGAGTATTTAGAGGGAAGGTGCTCAGGACTTTCCGAGAATCAGGTCCATCCATTTGACACGTCAAGCTCATCACCCAAAATCACTAGTCCCTTTAGAAAATATGATCTGGATGTCTGGCTCTGTTGAGTGGATTTGAAAGTCTCAGATGCTAATACAGGTTAGACATCCCTGGTCCGGCACCCTTGGGACCTGACTGGTCCCAGGTGAGGGATTTTTTCCAGACCAGGGGAGGTCATTTCTGGTCTCCCTGCTGCCACTCCCCGGCCCTGCCCCCCATTCGGGCTTCCTGGTTCCCCCCACAGCCTAGCGTAGCTGAACCTCATGCTGCTGCCTCCTGGCCCCTCAGCCCACTCCAGCTGAGCTATGCTCCCGTTCCCCCCTCTCTCCCACTGCCTAGCTGAGCCGCGCCTTGCCCTCCCCCATATTGCACCAGGCTCCCCACCCTCCCCGGCATAGCATCAGGCTCCTAACTCCTCCAGTCCCCTACAACTCTCTGGGGGACTCTGATCCTGGAACAGCTGTGGTCCAGGTTTATAGGGGTGCAACCTGTATCAGAAACCCTTTGCTGATGGTGAAATCATATTAAGTGTCAGATTATTGAGAACTCAGAAAACAACGAATAGTCTATCAGCACCTTAGAGACTAACAAAACACATAGATGGTATCATGAGCTTTCATGGGTACAATCCACTTCTTCAGATGAATGGAGCAATAAAAGTCCAGGTCCAAGAATAAATAAGGGAAAGGGGATGGAAAGGAAAGGAGAGAAAAAAGTGAATTAGAGTGTTCAAGAAGCTGAGAAGAACAATTTGCACCTTGTCTAAGTGCCCGTTGTTTACTTGGTTAAGTCATTAGGATGTGGAAGGTAGTGTGCTAGTTAGCCAATGTCTTTATTCATACCTCTATGATAGGAATCAAACTTGTAAATGAAGTTAAGTTCCAACCCTTCCCTGTGTATTCGGCTTGTGGAATTGGCCTGAGACAACACGGTGACTTTGAGATCCATTAATGAGTGCCCGGGCAGGTTAAAGTGTTCTCAAACAGGTTTTTGTGTGTTGCATTTTTGGATATCTGATTTGTGTCCATTAATTCTTTCCCATAGAGACTGTCCAGTTTGGCCAATATCCACGGCAGTGGGGCATTGCTGGCACTTGATGGCATAGATCACATGAGTAGATGTGCAGTTAAATAAGCCCAGATGTAGTGGCTGATGTGGTAGGGTCCAGTGATGAAATCGCTTGTGTAGATGTGTGGACAGAGTTGGTACAGGGCAGCACACCTCCATCATAATCATCCAGGAACACACCCCTGCAGTCAGCCCAGTGCCAACTCCGTCTTTAAGGTGCTGCTATACTGTTTGTTGTTTTTTAAGTTTTAGCTGGTAAATAATTATATACTTGAACCTCTTTAATCCGGCCACGCTGGGAAATAGGGTGTGCCAGATTAAGGATTTTTTGGAGGGCTCTGTGGCAGAGTCTGGGAGGCTGCATGAAGGGGCGTTCACCTGATGCCCCCAGCTGCTCTCGGGCACTTCCCCCTTTCACTGTGGGAGCCTCAGGAAAAGCGCTTACGCATGCTGCTGTTCCCCCCGTGGAGGGGGAGGGGAAGCAGCAGCGTGTAGAGCTGCTTCCTTTTCCCCCTGTCAGGGTCTGAACTAAGAGCGTTCCCAGATCATGTACGGAGGTTCTGGTGTAGTTCCATTAACTTCAATAGATCTCTGACAATTTTCACCAGCTGACGATCTGTCCCATTGAAATGACATAGGCTGGTGGCAGGCATATATTGCAGACAAAACATTAGACCAAAAAAACAAGGAAGAGAGATAAACAGTGAAGTCCCGTGTACGAAGGCTTAGGTAGCACAGATTTCAGAGTGGTAATCCAAGGGTATTTTTTTAATAATCCTCATGCTCAAGAGGCCGTTCCTGAGAGATTGAAGCCATCAAGCGTTTTGCCATTGGTTTCCAAAGGGCAGCATGGAGAACTTGTAATGTTCTGGCATGGAAGAAAGATTTCGATCTGTAGAAGCTTGGGATGGGTGTGTAACAAAGTAGGGAAGGCATTAGCCTCCCCCCCACTCTTAAAATCTTGGACCTAAGCTGCATGCCTTGAATGTGCTACATGTTTGAGAGAGAACCTGTTTTAACACGGTTTTAATGCATTTATGAATAGTTATTGGTATTCTTTCAAATTCCCCCAGCTTGTGAAGCAAAGGTGCTTAAGTTACTCCGATCTGTACATCTGAGAGGGAGAGGAAAAATCATTGCAATAAATCTTCAAAACCACTGAAATGACTTAAAATAGTTTCTCTGTCTAGAGCAGTGTTTCCCAAATCGTGTTCCGCGGAACCCCGGGGTTCCGCGAAGTGAACATAAGGATTCTGCGAGAAAATTCCATTACAATCACATTTTATGATTTAAAAAAATGCTTTTAAATACGTGCAATTTAAATATGATCTCATGACCTTGTTTAGCATTTGTTTATTATTATCCTTACTTATTTGCAGTCTACTTTTTCAGCTCCATATGTAAGACTGTTATGAGGGATTCCACAAAATTCTTTCAAGTTTAAAAGGGTTCCTTGGCTAAATAAAATTTGAAACACTGGTCTAGAGTAAAATCATGTTTTTAGAGTCTGATTTCTGGGAAGTACTCTGCTCTAGAAGTGATTCCTCCTTTCCAGCAGTGTCCAATTCCCTTTCCAGCCTTCATAAGTTGGGGGATATTGGACTTGAAACCTGTCACTAGAGCGGCCTTGGGCCAATATAATTTTAGGGGAAACTGCACTTTTGGGGAGAAGAAGGCAGGTTATTAGAAGCTACTGTCAGATTGGGGATGGTAGAAGCACCCCAGTGGACACTGGATAGGTGAGGTGATCAAAGGTCTATGACACATGTAGTTAACTACAGGGATAGGCAGTTTATCACTCTGGCATTGCAATTTATCATACAGATACTATCATCATGCACATGGTATGTCACAAGTACTCTCACCACATACCTGTGTGTGCTAGCTAATTATATAGATCTTGGTATAGAACCATTTTTTAAAGACTGAGTCTAAAATAGTTCTTAAATAGACTTCCAGGAAAGCACCTGGCATACTCGACATGCGAGATTTTCTTTGTAAATATTAATAGAACATTGCACACAATATAACTGCCTTTCCATTGTAAGACCACCCCCGGTAGCATTGATGTAGTGTCACTGTTTGTCTGTTTTGCAGATGTTTATGAATAATTGTGAGTCCTTTCTTCCTTTCAGATATCGAAAATTGGTGCCTTTTGCTGTGGGCTTAGTTTGTGCAATCAGCACACCATAGCGCTGTATGTGTTGTGCATCGTACCCTGGGTTCTGTTCCAACTTTTCAAACGGAAGGTAGGTGTCTGACCTATTGCTGAGTAGAACGTCAAAGTGTGTCGTTTTTCCAGTGCGGCTTTAAGGGCCGATTGTAAGTGTTAAGTGTGAACACGTATTGCGTTTCCTTCTGACACTGCTTTTTTTATTGAAGCAGCGTATGGATGTATGGGTGGCAACAGTTCATGATATGCCGAAGCTAGACATAATCCACCGACATCATAAAGTCCCAATCCATCAGGCTGACATCACAGCCAAGGATTATAACTTGGATGGATTTTGAAGCTGTCAGGCACATGAGTATTCTCCGAGCTGTTCATTTCTATTGTAAACTCCCTGGGTCATAGAGCATCTTCTGACCACCTTAAAGGTAGCTAGAGCATTGTTTGTACTGTGATGAGGCTACTAATGGAAGTTCTGAGTGTGTGGAAATAGGAGCATATTCCGTGTTTTCTTTAAAATGACCTTCCGCAGACAGAAAAGCAGATCAAATTGATGGTGACTGTAGTCCTTTAAGGAGATGGGTAGGAGCAGTCAGGACCTCACAACTCAGGCTGATGGTGGCAGGGAAATCCTTTTAAACCACAGAGCTAGTCTCCATGTGATGACTTTCTCCTGGTAGGAAATAGAGATCACGTCTCGATACTGCGCAATCTCTTTGCAGCTTTTGTCGCTGTCGGCCGCATCCAGGCTGGTGAGACGAGACAGCCCAGCAGTGCGATGGCTGCTGTCATTCCTCACCATAAGACTCAACTTCATTGTCAATCTGAAACTAGTTGGAGAGGGGGAGAGATGCCATAGGCTGTGCTGTCAGCCGTACACGAGCAATCCCATCCCGCAGATCTCCTTTTCCACAAATGCTGCCAGCGACGATTCAAGGTCTGCAGAAGATCAGCTTTCAGATGAAAGCATCGGGCAGAAAAACTCATCCTGGCCTAGACCAACCTGAAACACCGTCCTCTCCTTCCGTCAGATTTCTCTATTTGCTGAAGTTGTGCAAAATCTCACAATTCGTGGAAAAGTGGATAATTAATTGGGGAGCAACAGTGGTGTTTTCCCACCACCAGCTTGCTAGGAAACTGTACACCTTCCTCCCAGATAAGGATCCAGCCAGAGATCGGACATCTCTCACTTTCCAACTGTAAATTGCTGTAAATCGTTGCCTCTGGCTGGATGTGGATGGAATGCAGATGCTTCAGTAGGCACAAAATGAGGCGCCCTGCTGCCATAATAATAGTACCTAGCTCTTATATAATGCTTTTCATCAGTAGATCTCAAAGCACAACAAGACGCAACTGTTCATAGAATCCTAGGGTTGGAAGAGACTTCAGGAGAGTCCAAAGTAGGACCAACCCCCAACTAAATCATCCCAGCCAGGGCTTTGTCAAGCCAGGACTTAAAAACCTCTAGGGATGGAGATTCCACCACCACCTTAGGTAACCCATTCCAGTGCTTCACCGTCCTCCTAGGGAAATGATTATTCCGAATATCCAGTCAACCTGGACCTCCCCCACTGTAACTTGAGACCATTGCTTCTCATTCTGTCCTCTGCCACCACTGAGCATAGTCTCTCTCCATCCTCTTTGGAATCCTCCTTCAGGTAATTGAAGGCTGCTGTCAATTCCGCCCCCCCCCCCTCTTTTCTTTTGCAGATGAAAAAAAGCCCAAATCCCTCAGCCTCTCCTCGTATGTCATGTGCTCCAGCCGCCTAGTCATTTTGGTTGCCCTCTGCTGGATTTTCTCCAGTGCATCCATATCGTTTCTGTAACGGAGGTCCCTGAAATGGAATCAATACTCCAGATATGGCCCCACCAATGCCGAATAAAGGGGAATAATCACTTCTCTAAATCTGCTGGCAGTGCTTCTACCAATGCAGCTGAATGTGCCGTTAGCCTTCTTGGCAACAAGGACACACTACTGACTCGTATCCAATTTCTCATCCACCTCTCATTTCCCAGGTCTTTCTGCCAAACTGCTGCTTAGCTAGTCTGTCTCCAGACTGTAACACTGCTTGGGATTCATCCGTCCCAAGGGCAGGACTCTGCACTTGTCCTTGTTGAACCTCATCAGATTTGGTTTTGGCTCAGTCCTCCAGTTTGTCTAGGTCACTGTGGACCTGAGCCCTGCCCTTTAGCGGATCTACCTCTCCCCTTAGCTTAGTGAGCACATTATTATAGCTCCAGCCTTTGCAGTGGCTCCCGGTTTTCTCCCATTGCCAGATGAAGATCTTGAGCCTGACCTTCAAAGCTGTCAACAGGTCAGCACCTGGCTGCATCAGGCATCGCTGATCCTACAAAACGGCGACTCTTCTCTGGCAGTGGGCAGCCAACTAAGCCCGGGATGAAATATGTGAGGTCTGGGGGTAAGATGTTCCAGCCCCCTGGACTCATCTTCTAGAGAAAATGGTCCACAATCTGACTTTATTCTGCACTGTGAGAAGCCCTGTTTGCCAAAATGTTTCCACCCTCGCTGGCACGACACTCATTTAATTCTCTAATATTCCCTAGGAAAAGCCTTTGTTTAACCAGAGGTGGGTGAAGAGGAGAAAACTCCATGAATGCCAATAGAGCGCATGCCATACAGATTGGAACGCACCTCGGAAATACTTTGCCACTGCGGTTCTGTGCTACAGAAAAACCCTGTTATAGGCAGGCTATGGGATTTAGTAAAATGTCTTCGGAATTAGCTCTACCTCGGTCTTAGGGAACTTCCGCCATCAATTTTTAAACGGCTTTTCAGCGTGGGGAAAGTTATTCTAAACGTAGCCTCTCCCAAAGACACCCAAATAGAAACATCTGTTTTAGTCTAAATGCCCTTCATGACTAGGGTGCCCTGTACGCTGTGCGCATGTGATGCCGCTCAGGAGAAACTCAGATGCTTCACAGCTGTTTAGCAAATGACCCACAGCTGGGTTTTGTGTTTCTGTAGGAATGTAAATTCCTGTTTAGTTAGTTAACTGGTTAAACATTAAGTTTAATCAGTTAATTGATTAAATGGAGGAGGGTGGGAGTGAGCTGCACCAGCCCCATTGCGGCTGGGCTAGAGCAGCCCTTCACTTTGAGCCGGGACCGCTCCTGGCCCCGCACGGGGCTGTTGCTTCAGGCCTGCATGGGAGCCGGCAGTTCTGCGCAAAGGCCCAGCAGGGCTGGCGCATCCCTCTGCCCCTGGCAGGCCACAGGTGTGGGGCTGCTCCTGAGTTTGTTAACCATTACTCAGTAAGCATCAACCCTTCAGGGTGACGCTTACCAGGTAACGGTTAACTGGATATCCATTAACATCCCTTGTTTCTGTTGGTGGTGCAATTTGCACATGCATTGGTGCATGTAAAAAAAATTATTCCACACATGAATGGAAAAGATGAGAGGGAACGTTGTTCATAACCCCCCGAATAAGCAGCTTGAAATAGCCAAAAGTAGGATTTTCAGAAGTGCTTAAAGAAGTTAGGAGCAGCCATCCCTCTGAAAGTCTTGCACTCCTAACTCCTGTAGGCATTTTTCAAAACCTCACCGCTGAAGTGGAACGGCACAGGCTCGCCGGTGTGATCATGATAAAGTAAATGGGAGAACTGACTCCTAAGGAGGATGGTGAGGGGAGCAGTTACATGGGAACAGCCTTTTTTTTTTTATTTTATTTTTTTGCCAGATGGAATACCAGCCAACTCTTAATCACTGGAAAGTGGGTTATCTCAGCCTTGCAGTGCTTCAGCCATCTATGCATGTCATGACATGATTGAAATGTAAAAGATGCAGTGCATATGATACTCATGAGTCCTCGCTAATATTATTTGCTTCACTTAAATTTCACCCTGCCATGCAAAGGAGATCAGTTTGATGCAGTTCCCAAGTAATCCACAAAATCGTAAGGTTTAACATAGCATTTTGTAGGGACTTACTATAAATTGAGAGATCAACTCTGTGTAAATATATTTGATGTTTACTGTATCTGTTCTTGAAGTTTCAGGGTGATTAAAGAAAATAAATGTTGTGCAATATGACCTATTTTGGTGCAGGAACTGTCCCTTGGCCATTTGCTGAAGTTGGGCTTATGCTTCTTGGCTGGTTTGCTGCCTTATCTCTATCTGCCTATCTCATCCTACCTAAATCAAGCACGCTGGACGTGGGGAGACCAGATGACTTTGCAAGGATTTTTGACCCACTTTCTCAGGAAAGAATATGGGACATTCAGCCTGGTAAATAGGGGTCATTTTCTAACAGAGAAAAGTCTTCTTGACATTATGAAGTAGCAAAGCCTTTGCATTCATTTAGGTCAGCGTCCTGCAGGAGAAGACATTTAAAACATTACCCTTTTAGCACTTTATTCCTGATTTTAACCTATTAGTCTATGAGGTTGTTTCTTGGGATAATAAAAGTTGGCTTGGAGAGTGGAAAAATAATGTAATCCACCTGCATGCAATTCGGGGTAGAGTTATTTATTGGAAAATGTACTAGTACCTTCAGTCACAGTCTTGTTACCGGTGGGTATTGTCACAAAGAATAAACAATATTTAAGAAAAGTTGAAAAGTAAATTTTAAATTCCTCTCAAGTGAAATTACTCAGCTTCTTTGGTGTGTTTTTTTTAATGGTAAAACTTGGGAAACTCATCTGTTTAGAAAATGTCACAAACAGTTTTCATTGCTCCCTTTTTTTAAAAGAACGTACTTCTGTTGTGATTCTTAGTATAAATATTACATAAAATGAAGGGAGATTTTTTTTTTTAGTTCCTTACCTCTCCCACAATTTGAAACATTTTTTGATGGTGCACCTCTTCCTGAAAATACGGGAGTTAGTTCATACTTGTCTGTGGTGCTTTGGGGCATGCCCAGGCCAGTCAGCTTCTCTGCCTCTGGTAGCACAAGCAGAGTGGTTGTTATCAATCCCTGCCTTCATGCCTCCTTCAAAGAAGTCATTAGAGAAGAGAAAGTAACTAAAATCTCATCTGGCAAACTCTGAAATCCCATAGGCTCCCAGAAACCAAAGAGTCTCTGTAGAAAAGTCTACTGTGCACAGTAGCATCACAGCTTTTTGGTGCAAGTTCCCTCCTTCTGAAAGGAATACCACTACAACTTCACCTTTGGGCAGTGTGGTGGTAGTATTTTTGGCAAAGACTGCACTGCCTGCAGAAGGTAGCTTATTCCCCAAAGTTCCTGCAGGTAGGAAGAGAATGATCTTCTTCAGAAGGGACTTGGAGGCTTCTTCTGCTGTCCTTCAGATCTTCTCTGTCAACCATCACCTTCTGAAAATCAAGCCTCAAGTCAGCTCAAGGAGTTGATCCCTGACCAGCTTGTCCCATGTTCTGCTCAGCTTGGCCTACCCAAGATGAAATCCTCGCCCAGAGTGAAATGTACTCTGGTAGTCTCCTTCAGGCTTCCACCCCTTCAGAGATGGCCAGAGACTGAACAAGATTCTCTTATTTACATCAAGTTAGGAATACCAGCCTGGGGAAATGCAGTGTTCCAGCTCTTCTGGGCTTCTTGTGTTTTGTACATGAGGCCCACATTGGAACTGAAGACTCTCCCACATCTCAGCTCGGCACAAGAGCAAAACTGCAGGCATAGCCAAATGTCTGGTAGTCGCCTGCTAGTTCAAGGCTACTCAAGTTCTAACAGGTATCCAGCTAAAAAGCCAGGTCTTTTTCTGACCTGGGACCAGATGACAGTGTTAAGAGTTCTTGATAACATGCTTTTGGAGTTGACAGTATCCTTTTTCCTGTAGAGACGTGCTCCCTTGTCATAATCATATTGGCAGAAAGAGTCTCTAGATCCTGTGCTCTTGGAAAAGCATGATCCTTTCTACTTATTCCACAAGGCTGTTGTCATTCCTCATGCTCCACAATAAGGTTGTTTGTTGTTGCTGTTTTTTTAATGAGGATTAACTCTTCCATAGCTCTGAGGAAATCTTTCTTTCTTCATTTATCCCAAAGTCTCAACACCCAAAGTGTGGTACACGGTAGATGAAAAGGGAAGCTGTTGCCAGTTAGCTAATTGGAACCAGCCACTTCCAGGGAATGTCATCTTCATTTTTTCCCCATCCCAAATGTGTTTGTCCGAAAACATGTAAATCATGTACATGTGTGAATAGCTGGGTGGATCAAGTGCTGAATCCGGGCATATTCCGCAAAAGTGAGGAATACTGTGGCACCTTAAAGATTAACCGATTTATTTGGACATAAGCTTTCCTGGGTAAAACCACTTTGATGTATGGATAAAGTGAGTTTTATTTACAAAAGCTTATGCCTAAATTAATCTGTTTAGTCTCTAAGGCTACGTCTAGACTGCAAGCCTTTTTCAAAAGAGCCTCTTTCAAAAAAGAGCATCTAGACTACAACCAGTAGTTTCGAAAAAGCAAGCCGCTTTTTCGAGAGAGAGCACCCTGGCAGTCTGGATGCTCACTTTCGAAAAAGCACAGTTTGCATTATGTAGCGCCATTTTTTGAAAGAGCACTTTTGAAAAAAGGCATTCTTCCTCGTAAAATTAGGTTTTCTGCGGTTGAAAAAATTGCCACGTTCTTTCGATTTACTTTTGAAAGAACTCAGCAGCAGTCTAGACGCAGGGGAAGTTTTTTCAAAAAAAGGCCACTTTTTTTTGAAAAAACCCTGTAGTCTAGACACACGTTAAGGGGCCACAGGAATCCTCATTGTTTTTTGCAGATACAGACTGACACGGCTCCTTCTCTGAGATATATTTAGCGGCATATAAATTAGTTCTAGGACTCTAACCTATTTGGCCCACTTTCGCTGCATTGTCCGGAGTGGGAAGGCCATCATTCCGCACAAGGAAACCTACAAAGCTACAACAAGGTCATCTCCCTAGTTAGTTTTATAAAGCACTAGAGGTTTGACCTCCTCTCTTCAGCAATAGCATCGTTCATCAGGAGGCTGTTGTAAAAAGAGATGTCAAAATAAATGTTGCTAGTTGTAGGGAAGTGGGGAATCCTTTTCCTGTCCTTCCATTCACCTTTCCTTACTGCTCAGGACACCCTCAAGGTCTCATTAGGAGGGTGGTGATTTGGAGTCAAGAATGGAACACCTGGTGATTTCCCTTTTTGGGACTGATTTCTCCTCCTCTATGCTCTAGGGGAACATCTACACTGCAGGGGAAAAGTCGAATTAAGATACACCACTTCAGCAACCCTCTTCCTTCGCCTGCTATTACTCCTCGTTAAATGAGGGTTACAGAAGTTGGAGTAAGGAATCTGTTTCGAAATTAGTTTGAAATAACAGGCTTGCTGTGTAGATGCTTACTCTGTAGATGCTTACTCTGTTGTTTCAGAATAACGTGAGTTATTTCGAAATAAGCGTGCAGCATAGACATAGCCTAGGTGAGCTAAGTTCTGTTGGTACATTTGCAACAACCTCTTCTCTGGTCCATGTATGTTGTTAATCCAACGAAACAAAGTGCTGTTGCAAAAAGCTTAATTTTCTCTGCTGCTAAGAATCCCGTGCTTCTATGCAGCTTTGGCAGGAGGACCAAAGGGGCATGTCTATGCTCTCAGGACATGAGGACAAACATGAGCTGCTGCCAGTATTTTCAGGAAGAGAGGTGTAGCCCAAATATCTCAAATTGAGGGTGGTGTGCATCCGAGACAATAAATAAATTAGTAACACATTTCCCATGTGGGCTGTTATTTTTACTGTGTATAAAGGTGCCTTTTTCAAAACTCCACACTGCAATCATGTTCTTTTGAAAAAAAAAATTGAAAGAAGATAGGGGTTTTTCCAACGTTGGTAAACCTCTTTCTACAACGAAGGTGCCTTTTCCGAAAGAGCTCTTTCGGAAAAAGGCATGTGTGGATGGGGAAGAGGGAGTTCTTTCCTAAGAAGAGGAAAGAGGAAAAAGCACAGGTGCCCCGGTGGCTACTCCATCCATAGTATTCACAGCTGGCATGTAAGATAGCGTCCATTCAGTGTGGACGCTATTTGTTGAGAAAGCAGATTGCTTTTTCGATGTGCTTTCGCGGTGTGGACGCTCTCTTTTGGAAGAAGTTTTTGCAGAATATCTCTTCCGGAAAAGCTTCTTCTGAAAGAAGCCTACAGTCTAGACATAGCCTAAATGGCTTCTATGTGTTTTTAACCGTGGGATGCCTGTGTAGGACAGATTGTCAGGACTGTCACAAAGCAGACATATGATACACATGCATGTTTGCCAGTGAAGATTCTGCAAAGTATATACAGTAAAAGGTTTGTTATCCGTCACTCTGTTCACCGGAAAACTTTAACCAGTTTTGCCCCCCAACCACAATATTGCTGCTTCTTCAAGTGTGCACGCTTGACTCCTGCCTGTCCAGCCGATTGTTGTGGGGCTTCTAACAGCCAGCACTGTGGCCGACGTCATCAGCAAGCGTCTCCTTCCCCCTCAGCCTGCCCAGAGCTGCCGGAAGCCAGATCTGCCAGTAGGGGGAGGGGCAGAACAATAAACTTGGTTATCCGGCACATTCAGTTAACCAGCAACCCCCACTCCGCATGAGTTCTGGATAACAAAGCTTTTACTGTGATGTTTCTGAAAGGGTGGAAGAAATAGTAATTTTGTAGCATTTGAAATGAAGGAAGTTCTCATTGCACGTATGAAATAGAGTACAATTTATAAGTGGATGTTGAAAGGAATATAAACTGCTGGAAGACTATCACACAGCATAGCTCCCACTAGAGTTTTGCCTTAAAAATGTGAGCTCATTGCTATGATTTGTGTTACGGTCATGCCCCAAGGCCCTAGTTGAGGTCTTATTTTACTAAACACGTTGCGCCTATACAGTGAAAACGAAAAAGCTTGCAGTCTCAATCTGTTTTTCTTGCTTTGTGTCTAGGCCAAATCGGAGACAGGATCCCATATGAGAGAAATGTTGCTGTGAGTAAAAGCTTCCATGCACCCCAAAGTTGCAGAGTCATTCCTGTTCCCTCTGCATTATTTGGAGTAATTATTCCTTTCCTGTAACTCTGAGTTTATGGACTTCATAGCTTGGGCGGGGGAGGTCTAGACTGTATGTGGCTGTGTGGGCATGTATGTTTAGACCCAGCGTTGGGCCTGGGATGAATGCACATGATTCCTGTTGACATTCACTCTCTACTGAATAAAAATACTCTAAGGGTGGCTGCCCACTGAGTGGGTTGCTGATATTTCCCCCTGATGCCTAGCAGAGGTGATGTATGCTGTGTAAACCAGAAAGGGCTGTTTTGGAGCAGGAGAGGCTACATTTCATTTGCTGCACCCAGCCCAAGCAAGCTGGCGGTGCACTGGAGTGCCCTGCAAAGGGAGTAATTTTTCCACCAGCCTCTGCAATGAGGAGAAAGCCATTCTCTGGCAGCGGTGTCAGCCCTGGGGCCCAAGGAACAGCTGTGGTTGTTGCAGGCAAGAGGAGTTGATTAGTATAGTGTCCAATTTTCCGCCACTCGCCTGTCAGCGTTAAGCACAGGGCAGCTACTTGCGCACTAGAGGAGGTTTAGCACAGAGTAGCATTGGAGTCTGCCAGCCCTTCCTAATGACTCTCTTTCCAAGTGCAAGAGGGTACGTGTACTCTAATGCAGTGGTTTCAAACGACGGGTCGTAACCCCGTACAGGGTCCTGGAGTGCGGGGCCCCGGGTCTCCTTGCTGCAGAGTGGTCAGGTGACCAGTGGGGTTGCTAAGGCTGCCACCTGTTTGTCCTGGCCCCACAGACTGCACTGCGCCCTAATAGTGGGACCGAGGGGGGATGAGCGCACAGGGCTCCACGCACTGCCCCTGCGCGCTAGCTCCTTGCTCCCATTGGCTGGGAACCTACTGCTGGCGGCTTCTGGGGCGCAGCATGGTCTGCGGTGCCAGGAGAGGCAGGAAGCTGCCTTAGTGCCCCCACTATACTGCTGACTGGGAGCCGCTCAAGATAAGCCCCTCTTTTCCCCAGCCTCCTTGCCCCAGTCCTCAAGATAAGTCCCTCCTTGCCCCAGCCCCCCAAAACCCAATCCCTCTCCTCCAGCCCAAAGCTCTCCTCCCCAGCCCCAGCCCGGAGCCCACACTCTAGTCAAATTATGTTGGGTTGCGGGCACCAACAATTTTTTTCATCTGGGTTACGAGGAAAAAAAGTTTGAAAACCGCTGATCTAATGCACTTTTGGGAAACATCCAGACCAATGAATGGTCACTGTGCTGTCTAATAAAATCAATACAATCAGGACAGCGAAAGACAGCGTCTAAACATATTGCAGCACTGTGCTGTCTAATAAAATCAATACAATAAGGACAGGGAAAGACAGCATCTAAACATATTGCAGCGTAGCAGGAATAAATTACGCTGTGCTGACGCCGTTCTTTCATTTGACATTACACGCACGCTGGGATTTGAGGGGGACGAACTGATCATTGGTTTCTCCATAGTTTTCAGGTAACGCACATGAAAACAGAACTTGCCTATGCTGTCCCGGCCCTTGCGATCGCGGCGTGTTTATGTACAGCAGTGCCGTAAGTCGGAGTGCATTTGCTCTAGTGTGTCTTTGGTTATTGAATCTTAGCTTTCAGTGACTGCACTGTGCAATCGCGGCACATGCTTTCAAGAAACCTGCTGCTGCTCTTGCTGTTCTGTAATGAGTTACATTTTACTTTGTTTCTGATGGCCTAGTGGTTCTTGTAAATTAAACTTAAACATTTAAAGTGTAGCTCTGGAATCCTGTGCACTTTAGAAAGACAAAAACTTCTATCATTAGTAATGAGGCCAGTTCATTATCTTAGATATACATATATTATTGTTTTTTCATAATAAATGCTGTTTTTCTGCCTCTTTTTAATATTTTTAGTAGAGTGTTATGGTGTTTCTTTTAGGGGTAAGCTGGAGAAGTCATCAGTGATATGGTTATTTACTGGAATGCTCTGCGTTTATTCGCTATTCTTTGCTTGGAGGGCAAATCTGGATATTACAAAACCACTTTTTATGGGTGTGGTAAGTTTCATTGTGTATTAGGTGCTTCTTTGTAACTTTAATACACAATAAAACAAATAGCCTAGTAGCACCTTAAAGACTAACAAAACATGTAGATGGTATCATGAGCTTTCGTGGGCACAGCCCACTTCTTCAAATAAGTGGATTGTGCCCACGAAAGCTCATGATACCATCTACATGTTTTGTTAGTCTTTAAGGTGCTACTAGGCTATTTGTTTTATTGTGTATTAAAGTTACAAAGAAGCACCTATCATGTTCAGTGGGATACTTTTATCTCTCCTAACTTACTTCATTAGAAGTGCAGTGCTACATAAAACTCAGTAAGAAGGTAGTGTACTTTCTTACAAACGGTGTGACATATGAACAGGCTGTTGTCTGGATATGTATGCTGGAAGCAAAGTGACTCATATTTTTAAAAAAGCCCCGTTTCTTGTTCCTCTTCCTTTATCTCTGTCCACCCTTTACCTGTGTCTCCGAGCAGAGTCCATTCCGTCTCGGGAACTTGGAAAGGGCCAGGCACACTGAGCTCTGCCACTTACAAGCAAATAAAGACAACGCACCTGGCAGCTGGCTCCATTCTCCCTGTGTTTTGTGCCTTAGGTGGAACGGTTTTGGATGCAGAGCAATGCAGTGGTTGCTGTCCTAGCGGGGCTAGGACTCGCCTCTCTTATCTCCCTTGGAAATACAGTGCTTGAGAACAGTCGTCTGCTGCACTGCATAGAGTGGCTTGCTGCTGCTGCTCTTGTTTCTAGTCAACTGTATGCCAGTTACAGGTAACCGATACCCCCAACATACTTCTCGGTAGGACTTTGTGGGCTTGTGGCATTGTGCGTCTCAGATTGGTGGCGGCTCTAACCGGGCATCTTAAATCTGTGAGCTGCTTCTAACGTTTTAAAAGGCCCATTTTTGGCAATGTTGTGGAGGATTTGGAGTGATTTAAGAGCATGTATTAAGGCAGGAAAAGGCCTAGGGGCTGTTTTCTCTGCTGGCTTTGGGGAAGGAAGGTCGCAGGTACAAAGGCCACATCCAGAGCTGGGTTTGGTGACAGGGCAGGGTCCTTATGGCAACTTCTTGAAGACCTTTTGAAGTGCAAGTGCTGTGTAGCCTCCCACTCATCCTAGAGAAGCACTTCACTATCCTGAAGGCCCTTCCCCCAGAACCCAAATGCCTGGAGCCAGTGTGCCCTGAGATATATCTGTCATCAGGTTTTGTAGACGCCATCTTTCTGATCCATGCAAGGGAGTGCCCACCCACTCTGTTGGCACCACCCTCTGCATCCTTCTATGCTGCTCCTCTGGCCTATGCTTTGAGCTCCCTTTCTAGCAAGAAAACAGCCCCCATGCTTCTGGTGTTCAAACCTGACGGCTGGAGCCATCTGGAATATAATCCCCATTGCCTTCCCCAACTCCTCCTCTGAGGTTCCATTCTGAACCAGAGAGCTGAGACCTCTTGGAGTGGAGGAAGGAAAAATGGTGGTGAATTAAATTGTTTTCTAACAAACAAAGCCATACATTTGGGTGGTATCTCAGCAAGAGGGTTGCACATATCACTAGACCCAAATGGAGACCTTCCGCTGTTGTACTCCAGCTTTCCGCTTGCCCTTTCGGCCTCTCAGGGTACTTTGGGGGTATTAAGGTCTCAACAGAGCCCTGTTCCATGGCCAAGACAAAGATCCTCCATCTAGGATATGAACTAATGTTTGGTGGTTGCAGGCCGAGGGGGAGAGGTTTCAAGAGCCAGAAGCAGTGACCAGTGGGAAGTGGCCAAGGCCAAGTGGGATATTTTGGCTTTGAAAAGGGTTCAGAAAAGGGCAACTAAAATGATGAGGGGTTTGGAACAGGTCCTATGTGAATAGAGGCTAAAGCGACGGGACTTTTCAGTTTAGAAAAGAGGAGACTAAGGGGGGATATGATAGAGATATATAAAATCACAAGTGGTATGGAGAGGGTGAATAAAGAAAAGTTATTCATTAGTTCCCATAATATAAGGACTAGAGGACACCAAATGAAGTTAATGGATATCAGGTTTGAAACTAATAAGCAAAAGTTCTTCTTCACACAGCGCATAGTCAACCTGTGGAACTCCTTGCCAGAGGAGGCTGTGAAGGCTAGGACTACAACAGAGTTTGAAGAGAAGCTAGATAAATTCATGGAGGTTAGGTCTATCAAAGGCTATTAGCCAGGAGGTAGGAATGGTGTCCCTGGCCTCTGTTTGTCAGAGGCTGGAGATGGATGGCACGAGACAAATCACTTGATCATTGTCTTCAGTCCACCCCCTCCGGGGCACCTGGTGCTGGTCACTGTCAGCAGACAGGCTACTGGGCTAGATGGACCTTTGGGCTGACCCAGTACAGCCATTCTTATGTAAAATTCTTGAGTTCCTTCCTCCCAAGCAGCTCTTCAACTTACCGCTGGCCTCCGAGGCATGTTGGCTTGTGCTCTAAATTAATTTCAGCAGCCTGTCCCAGACCCAGTCCAGTGCCTTGACTGCGTGGGGTCTGTGCAGTTAGGGGAACCACAGACATTTTGTGTGGGAGCTGCCTCTTAATGTTTGTTTCTTTTGAAATGGGCCATGCCCTCAGCCGGTGTAAATCTGCTCTTCCCTGCCTGACTTCGTATTCCCATGCTGAGATTTGACACTATCAGACTTTTCGTTGTACTGGCACTTGCACTAAAACTAATAAATGTTTGCATGGAATATATGGCCCCCCCAAAAACAGAGGTTATGGTGTATTTTTTTTTTTTACAGTTACTGTTGCAACTGGCTCATATTTCTGCCACTGGCCTGCTGTATGATCTTGGGCGAACCCTTTAAACGCTTGTGCCTCATTTTCCCCATATGTAAAATGGGGTTTACCATATGCATAAAAGGCCTTGAGATCTGTGGGTGAAAAGTACTGTTGAATAGCTGGCTGGTATTATATTTATTTCTGACTGCCTATCACAGAAAAGTATTTAAATCCCCATCAGTGTCTGTTCTAAGATGTTTATATTTTGATCTCTTCTGTTAAGCATTTGTGACCAAAGCAGCAATGACGTAGTCGATAAATTTGCAAGGAACCTTTTGTCCTCCATGCCAGAGGATGCAATAATCTTGGTCAGAGGAGACCTACCAGGGAATTCTCTTCGTTACCTTCATTATTGTGAGGGAATGAGGCCTGATGTTACGTTAGTGGATCAAGAGGTAAATACGAGGCAATCCAAAACTTTGCCATAGAAAATAAATGCAGGTTCCGCTTTTCACTTTTTCTGGTGTTTAGCATTGTTTTATAAATAGCCTTATGTACTTCAGGATCTGTTTGACATTTCCAGGCTCTGAGACCTGAAGTGACTGGACTTGACTCAGAAGACTTATTCAGACGATAGTGACCCATTTTCTCTATTGTAACCTTGTGTCTACCACCCTGCTGTAGGGTGGCATGAAATTTCACTTGAACTGTATCACTAGTGAGTTTGGCTTAGAGTGGAACGTGTGCCAGCAAGGGGGTCCCACAAGAGCTGGGCCTGTGGTGGTGAAGTGAAGAAGAATATGGCAAATCCGTAATTGTAAAGGAAAAATGGTTTTTCACCTGTCTATATGAAGATACCAGTATCAGTGTGTGATTGTATTCAGGGGCCCAGGAGGTTTCCACATGATCAGCCATGTAACTTTAATTGAATTTAAAAGATACATTTTCTAAAGATAACAAGTTGTCCGGTGTGTGGTTTGCCTTTGGGCCTAGCTGTGAGTAACTTTCAGACACAGATCTGGGCTTGCGCAGTTTAGAAGAATGGCGTGAGTAACTTTCAGACACAGATCTGGGCTTGCACAGTTTGTAGAAGAATGGTAGAAAGTACCCCAAAGAAAGTAGCCTTGATCGACATAGGGTGGGTGTGCTCAACATACAATTAACTGATAAGCCTAAGCTTATCCGTTAATCTTGTTGACTACACGCATTTCCCCCCCCTCCTGCGGGGGGAGCAGGAGCCAGTACTGGGGGGGGAGCCGGCTTAAAAGCCAGTTCCCCCCAGCACAGGCTCCATGGTGCAGCCTGTCCCCCTCCTCCCCCCATTCCGAGCTGCTTCCTCTATCAGAGGCAGCAGTGGGGCGATGGGCAGAGGATGCTGCTGCAAAGCAACCTCTGTCCAGGCTCTTTGCAGACAGAAGATGCTTCACAGCAGAAGCCCCGGTTCATGGGGGTCTGAGTCCCTGTGGACAAAGGCTGCTCCACATCCCACGGAGCAGCCTTTGTCCATGGGAAGCTCAGACCCCTCCTCCCCCCTCCATGGACAGGAGCTGCTGCCACCTTTGCTCTGCCTCTGTATCACAGGCAGCAATGCAGGGTGGCAGACAGCTACCCTCGTGGATCAGCTCCCCCAGCCATCCCTGATAGGCATCTGTGCGGGGTGGCAGGGGACTCCCCAGGAGTGGGGCCAAAGTGTCCTGGCTTCCGGCCCCACCCCCAGGGACTATCGAATAGTCGTGTAACCGATAATATTTTATGCGGTTACTTGACTATTCAGTTATACGATAGCCAGCATCCCTAGATCTACAACCACGGGTCACTTGCTCTTGTGGTTGATGCCGGGCTATTCCGATGAGGCAGGTGAAGTGCTCAATGCGACGTTCCTGAACGCAGATCCTTGAAAACAGAGGTGGCAATGCACCTTCTCGCAGCGGGACTCTGACAAGGTCCCCGCAATGGAGCGCCGCCATCCTATCGGAAGCTTCATCGTCTAGTGCCAAAGAACGTGGCCTCCTTTGCCCAACCTTTGTCCTCAACTTGTCTCCCCTAGGGTGTGGTCATGTGTCTGCTGACCTCTTTTGCCATCTTCTGTCCTCTTCTTCCACATACCAGTTTCCTGGGAGGAGAGCTCCCTGAAGGAGTTCATTGTACCCCTTCCTTGGAGAGGAGGGGGAGCTTAACCAGTGGTGCTTCAGGTAGATGCAAGCACCAGGACCGTGGTCAGAATTTCTACCTTCTGTGCACTCATCTCAGCAACATGAGCAACAGGAGGTGGGAGGAGGGAAGAGGCTGCCCTAGTAATTGATAACTGAAAATGTCCAGATGTCACTTATTGCCAATAGTTGTGCTGTGTGGAAAGTTACTGGACCTAAAGTCTTCTGTCACTGCCCAGTGAAGAGAGAGACTCTTGTGGGTGCAGAAAGGCACCCGGAAAATGTTAAAAGGGGGAGTAAGTCCCTCACCCATCCTTACAAGGCCTTGCAGGAAGGGAGCAAGCACCTGCCTCCCCCTAAGCCTTATGCAGAGTGCAGTATGCCAGTGATAAGGCTTGGCACTTTGTACAGGGTTGCAGTCTTGCATTTTCCATGTTCCTAGTTGCACAGTTTTTATACGCCTGAGGCTTCCTTAACAAGTCCTTTTACGTTTATATTGGTGCATTTGCAGGGTTTATTACTTCCCTTGGAGCCCTAGAAGCAGGAGAGAATTGTTTAACGTGGAAAAAGAGATCACCTATTTCACTGTGTCACAAATGAGCCCTGAAACCTTGGAGGTGTAAAATGATCTCTCTTGCAAGGTTTTTTGATTTGCTTCCATACCCAAAACATGCTGCCTGATGTTTAACCAAGCTATAACCTCTTCACACCAGCTTTATTCGGTGGATCTTTTTACACATGCAGAGATTTTTTTTTTAGACTCTCCTGAGCTTAAGTTGTTGGATATTTTTTTAATCTGTGCAAGTTTACATTTTTGTACATGGGTGGGTGGGGAATTTTGTCTTAAAAGTTAAAATAATTTTAATCTTGTTTGTATCGTTTGTGGTAGATGATGACTTATGCGTGGTATTTACCAAAGATGGCTAAACATTTGCCTGGCGTGTCTTTTCCTGGGAGGCGGTGGAATCCTGTGGAAGGAATATTACCTGATGGAACACTCACATTTAATCTCCATCATTTTCTCAAAGTAAATAAACAGTAAGCATTTCTTTCGTGTAATAGTTTTCCTAGAACCTTTAAGCTTTTTTTCCTGAAATTGTTTACGTAGCAGCTGCTATTATGTTCCGATAGACCAACTGTCTGCCCTGACTTCCCCGCTGATTTAATTAAATACCTAGGCTGAAGGAACACTGTCCAGGTATAAACGTCATTGTTCAGCGGGAAAAATAAAAGGTGATTAACACAGAAAGCTTGTAAGATCTTGGCACAAGTCAGTTAAAAAAAGCAAAGTTGCTACATACTTGAAATCACCACAAGCGGAGAGAAAACTGTTGTTTATTTCCTCTTTGTGACACTCCGGCCATTTTAGAAGTATAGAACACGTATTCCAGGAATAAGCATTGCACAAAATAGCTCAGTAATAGCAAAGAGAGGGTTAGGCACTCACATGAATAAGAATAGTGTCCACATATTAAAGAGCCAGGAGAAACCTGGCCCAAGGGCTTCAAGGCATAAGATGAGAGCCGGGTGTGATGAGGAAGAAATGTTTCCATTCCATGATGTTATGCAGAGGTGGGCAATAACTTTTGGGGGGGGGGTGTGGGCGGGGCCTCGGATAAAAGGGGCGGGGCCTCGGATAAAAGGGGTGGGGCCTCGGACAGAAGGGGCGGGGCCTTTAAATAGCAAAAGTTAAAAGGGGTCACAGCTCTGGCCCTGCTAGCATATTGCCTGGGAGTTTGAGTCCTTTCAGCTGCTTCTATTTAAAGGGCTCCAGCCTTTCCCGTGGCTCCCAGGCAACGTGCTAGGGGGCAGGGCCAGGGACAGCCGCGTGGGCCGGATTCAGCCTGCTGAATGGCTTTTGCTTACCCCTGCGGTAATGGATCTCCGCTGATTGTGTGAACTGAAGGGGTGCTCTTACCTTACTCTGAAGCATCCAGAATTGGCCATTTCAGAGGTGCACTACTGTCTGGAACATTAGAATTTCTGTGGATTAATCTAAAGTTAAGTGGCCTTGCCAAGTGGATGTAACACAGCAGTGGTTTCACTCTTCAAAACCCAGCAAGTAAAAAGCTGTGCACGTTACATTATGCCAAAGACAGTGTGTGCACTTAGTGAATTAAGACTGTGACACACACAAGAGGGTCGGTTGTATAAGGATGGGTAATTTAGTGCTGTGTGCACAACGGCCATGTCTCCTCACTGCATTTCTCTAGGACAGAGCTGTGTGGTCTGGACACAGGACTGGAGCTGGGAGCCCCTGATTCTGACTCCTGCCTGACACCCGCTGCATCAGCCATGCTGAGCGTGTTACTTAACGCTGTTTCATAGCGCCACAGTTCTAAGATTGCTGGCCTGCATTAACTGTTAGGGATAGAAAGCCTTGCCTGAGACCTTGGTCTGGTCACTTTCCCATCGTTGATCTCTGAAAAATCTGCTTCTACATGTGAGTGTGCACACGCCTGTACGCTCTCACACTTGGAAATGCTCCTAGTAACCTGACGGGTTCAGCTGTAGAACTCAGGCTGCAAGAGATTTCCAGTTTGCTACCAGTGGCAGGGGTGCTAGAAACCTCTTAATAGATCAGTGGGATGGGAAGAGGGTGTTAGAAAAGAACTGGCTACGCAAAGGCAGATGGGGAAACAGGGCACCTGTACTGCTGATACTCATTCCATCCTGCCTACCTGGAATTTACCCAAGCAACGAATTTACCCAAGTTCACTTTTTATCTTAGGTACTATGTAAAAACACTTATCAATTACATCACTCTTTAGGTCCTAATTTAGAAATGTGAGCACCCATATAATGCATAATCATAACCACGTGGTGAATATAATTATACCCGCTCCTGTTTACTGTTTACAGCTTTTTAGCTGATGTTGGCAGGTTTCACATCCCAAAATGTGTGGCATCAGCAACTTACAAGGGGTACAGGAGATGTGACCCTGAATGTGTGATTCGCAGCGGATAAGGGAGTAAGGAGGGTAGCATTGCTAACACATAGGCCGTTCGTTAAAAAGTTACATCTTGGGTACAGCTGGACAATCCGGGAAGGAGGAATTAAAACAAATTAATAATCAATAGAAGTAGAGTCTGCCTGGGCCGTGCCCTGTTACCATGGTTACAACTACCAAGACCCCTTATTTAACCCTTACACACCCCAACAGAGGGGTGATGGACGATGCAGCACTGGTATGTACACCTGTGCCCGTGTGCACCTGGCTAGCCCCAGCTGGCTACTGAATAATGAGCCACCTCTCCCAGCACAAGCTGGGAGAGCAGGGATCCCGCCCCTTTACTCTCACTCCCCCTCCCCCGTTAGTCACATCCTGGCCATTTCAAGACGGTCAAGGAGACCCATCGCCCAGCCTGCCAATGGCAACGGCCATTCTCCCTCCCTGGAGCTCTGTGGGCGACTTTTGTCACCAGGGCTGCCAACAGAAGCCTCAGAAGAAAACCAGCTGCTGCCAGCACCTTGGCTGCGTTAGAGGCGATCAGCCACCTAGCAGGGGAGGCATTATCTGCTGGGGTGTTGCGATAATCCCCCCTCCTTTTCAGCCCCAAGTCGCACATATTCTCCGCATGCTGGGCTCCGATCATCTCCCCTTTTGTGGCCTGCGCCTTCTCTCAGGTGCCGGGCTTAGTACTGGGCGGTGCTCGGGAGGAGCTGGTTTCCACAGTAGCGGTGAGTGACGCAGTGAAAACGAGAACACAGAAAGCGTTTACAGGTAACGTTGTTGCTCTTCCTTTTGACAGCAAGGAAGCATTTGCGTGCATCGGGCTTAACGAAGGGGACTCAACGTGGAGAAAAAGTTATTCGCTTTGGCCCTGGGGCTCCTGTGACAAATTGGTTCCTTCCGAAATTGTTTTTAACCCAGGAGAGTGGATTCGTCTTACAAGAAATATCTACAACTGGACTGAAGAGTATGGAAGGTCTGGCGCATGGGTGTTTTAAAGCTTATTTGGCTTTCTTAGTCTCGTAAATCAAGAAGGACTCTGTGCAGTGTCTGCATATGATTTAGTCTTCTACTACCGGCAAAAACAGTGTGGGAGCTGTGTGCCGCCGAGTGTATTCACTTCGCTGTCAGTCTGCAGAGAGCTAGGCTTAGCGGTATCATCCTAGTGTTTCTCCACATGGAGGCACCTCTCACAGGATTAATAATCCGTGTCTGAGGCTTGGGAATGGGACAACAAGGATCTATAGGGTTGGTGAGGTGCTTCACAACTGTAGACTTATTGGCATGGTAATTCGAATGTGAGGGGCCGCAACACAGCTGGGTAGGGGCTCTTCTAAAGAGCCATCTCACACCGTTCCTGGTTGTCGTCCGCGTTGTGATCCCTTGTCTTCATGAGCGCAAAGGCCTAAGGTCAGTGGAGCACTTAAGCACATGTACATAAGTCCTTTTCTAGTCCGTGGACCACTTAAGCCAGTGATGGGCAACCTAGGCCAATGAAGGGACCACACGAGTGGCATTTTTCATATCAGCGGGCTGCAAGATTGTCCTAACCACGATGGTCTCCTCGGTTAGGGTAGTTGTGCTCACTGTACTTGCGTACCTAGAATTAGCAGCATGTGCCGATTGAACCACAGCAGCACTTTGGTGGGATGCAGAGGGAGCGCCTGGCTCTCACTGTCCACTGGGATGCAGAGGGAGCGCCCGGCTCTCACCGTCCATGTTGTGTGCAGTAAGCAACACACCTCACTTCATGTGCCCTTGCTTCACATGCATGTCACATTAGTAATACTGGTGGGGAAAAAACGATGCAGATGGAAATGACTGGAATCTGGCAACCCTACACATGGGCAACGGTAAACAAATCGTCTTGCTGGCCACCCACAGGACCCTGGTAGACTGCAGGTTGTGTACCATGGACTTAAGAATGTGCTTAAATCCCAGTGAAGTCAGTAGCCTTTAAGCATGTGCTTACATGCCTCATAGAATCATAGAACTGGAAGGGACCTTGAGAGGTCATCAAGTCCAGTCCTTGTCCTCACGGCACGACCAAGCACCATCTAGATCATCCCTGATAGATGTCTATCTAACCTGCTCTTAAACATCTCCAGTGATGGAGATTCCAGAACCCCACTAGGCAATTTATTCCTGTGTTTAACCACCCTGACAGCTAGAAAATTTTTCCCAGTGTCCAACCTAAACCTCCCTTGCTGGAATTTAAGTCCATTGCTTCTCGTCCTATCCTCAGAGGCCAAGGAGAACAATTATTCTCCCTCCACCTTGTAACACCCTTTTACTTGAAAACCGCTATCGTGTCCCCTCTGTCTTCTCTTTTCTAAACTAAACAAGCCAATTCTTTCAATCTTCCCTCAGAAGTCATGTTTTCTAGACCTTTAATCATTTTTGTTGCCTTGCTGAATGAGAATTCATTGAAGTGTTTTGCTGAATCTCAAATTCTAGTCCCCAACAAAATCGTTTAACTATTTTAAATAGTTTTCAGTAGTTCCTGCTTCAAAGATGCTATTTATATTACTATTTCATGCCCTGGATACTAAAAATATGAGACTTAGGTCAGTTTGGTGCTTACTGGACTCAGATCTGAGACTTGGTCTCTTTTTTCTGTTTACAGGGCCAAGAGCATGAAGGATATAACTTAGCTAACTCCCAGAGCATCACAAACAAAGCTACAAAGGGTGCTTATTATCAGCCCACCCAGCCTGTGTGTAGCTAGGATGCTGTGAGACATGCATAAAAGGAGCATTGGGAGATTATATCTAGAGAGAAAAAGTAGTTTATACAGGAGGAGGTTTATTATGAATTCCTTGCTGCTTTTGCCCTAGATTCTGTGGCTATATTCCTTCTGCCTAGGGGATTTATAACCTGGTGCATAGGAGGGGAAGGGGTTTCTTGTAGACTGCAAGATGACCATTCAGTGGGTGATGCGCATGGAGTCCGGCGGATGAAATGCAGTGCTGTCGGCAGTGTGGCTGAATATAACTTGCATTCTTTTGTAGGTTTGATCCAACTTCATGGGAAGCTGTCGCAAATGAAGAAATGTGGCAAGCCAGGTGAGGTTGCCTTCACTTCCTGGCCTCCCCTGGCTAATGATTTCAATTCATTGGAGTGCATTATGTCAGAGCGGGTGCTGTAATAGCAGATGTTCCTGAAGTGAACTGTTTCCCCCTCAGAAAATAAATAAATGTTTGTACCAGGCTGGGCAATCATTTTTGATGGAGGGGCCACTCCAAGAATTTGGAAAGTGGTCGAGGGCCGCACTCTTCTGTGATATTAATGGAGGAGGGTCTGGGATGGCGGTTGGGTGCAGAAGGGGGCTAGGGGTAAGGAACTGGGGTGCAGAGGGAGTGTGGAATCAGGCAGGCCTGAATCCAGCCCATGAAGCGTATTTTGCCTGGCCCTGGTCTAGAGGAAGCCAGGCCTAGAAGGGAAATTCCCTGTTATTTGGCTTGTACATCAGCTTGATGAAATGGTTAGAACTGACTGAATTCTGGTGACTGGGGGCCTGCAGGATTGTGGATTTTGCTGCAAATGTCTTCACAAAGGAGAGGATAGTTTGGAGACAGAGTGCAAAAAGCTCTTTGTGTCAGATGTAATCCATCTCAAGGGGAGAAGAGATGAGTTGCTGTGTACTGCTAAAAGGTTTACCCAAGAGTTGCTCGGATCCTTAACTCAGTTTTTATTTTTTGGAAAATAGAATGAAAATGTCCAAGCCTCGTTTAAATCGTTGCTCTGAGGTGAGGCTGGGGAGGAGGGTTCGCTATGCAGGTTGCCCTGGGGAGAGAGGACAACCTTAGCCCTCTCTCACATCAGCAGCTCTGGGCCAGGTGAGAAGCCTCTCCCCATGGCACAGCTGGGGGAGAGGTGCATGTCCCCCGGCTGGGGCAAGTTCAGTTTTGTCTGTCCCCTGCACTGCCCAGCCAGAGTGAAGTGTGCAGCAAACTGTGCACTTTCCCCTCGCTCCCTGACGGAAAGGAACAGCCAGCAGTGTCCTTGTATGAATCGGGGGGAGGATCTTCACCTCCCCTGCCCTCCCTAAAGGATGCTTGGGGGATGGGAGTCTCGGGGATGGGGCAATCCCAGAAAGTGGGGGCATGCCCCCAGCCAGCCCCTTCCACCTGCCTGCTGATTTTGTCTCTTTTCCGTATGGTTTTCTGGGAAGCAATCCCCTTCCAGTCACGTTCCATTTTCCTGGCACGACCAAATCCTGTTCTTGTTTTAAGTTCTGATAAGATAAAGCTGCAATATGGTGGTCCTAGCTCTTACTGTTTAGGAGGAGTTCTTGGACAGACAGACAAACTCTCTCAAATATATAACAGACGTTACAAGGGACTTTTGTGGATGCATCTTCTATGAGACAGTATTGGAGGTTTTTGTCTGTTAATATGAAGTTTATTCTGTTTTCTAGGATGAAAACCGCCTTCTTTGTCTTCGACCTGGCCGAAACTGCTAGTGTGTCTGCAGATATAAAATCCCAGCTTTATACATTTGCATATGATGTAGGTAACTTTGTTGTCAACTTTTCCTCTCTTTTTGTGTTGGCGGTGAGCTATCTTTAGCACCCTGATACCATAGGAATGCCCAGGGCACATATTCATAGTTAGATAGCATGAGTGCAGAACATGTGCTTGTTCATCCAATCCAAGTCCATAGCAAATTAAAATGGGATTGTTCAGGGAATACATCCGTTCCTATTTCCCCCTTTAAAAGCCTGCCTCAAAGAGTCACAGCCACATGTTTAGATGGTCATTCAGTTAGTAAGTAAAGGTAATGCTAAAATGAACTGAGCTAGCACCTTGTTCTGTAGAATTATGTACTCCCAGTCCAGGCCAATAAAGCACTGTGTACGTTAGTCCTCATGTCCATGCACAGCTGTGCCACAGCTGAGCCAGCAAATATAAAATCAGAACCACAGAACTAGGAGACCTCTAGAAGTCATTGAGTCCAGTCCCCTGCACTCACAGCAGAACCAAACACCATCTAGACCAAGCGTGGCAGGTGTTTATTTAACCTGCTCTTAAATATCTCCAGTGATGGAGATTCCACAGTCTCTCTAGGCAATTTATTCAAGTATTTAACCACCCTGACTATTAGGAAGTTTTTCCCAACGTCCAACCTAACCCTTCCTTTCTGCAATTTAAACCCATTGCTTCTTGTCCTGTCCTCAAAGGTTCAGGATAATAGTGTTTTTCTTGCCTCCTTGTAACACCCTTTTAGATACTTGAAAGTTATTATCATGTCCCCTCTGTCTTCTCTTTTCCAGATTCTAAAATCTGTACTCTGAAAATAAAGTTGTACTGCACATCCCACCACTAAGAATACTATCTGTGACCTCATTAGCGGCTCATTGGTAGTATCTTACTGATAAAGGCGCTATCTCTACCAATGGGGATTGTTAGTTGAAGCATGTCTGAACCCAACAGACGAACAATCAATAACTTCCTTTAAATTGTTCCTTTCTGTGTAGCATTTTAGAGTTTGAGTCATCTTCTCTTCAGGTGGATTTTTAAGTATGTGCCTCACTTTTGAGCATGCGCATGGTCCTGGTTTAGATATCCTGACCTTCTGAACTATTAAATGTCTTCACATTTTTTTTTTAAATCCATTACAGTGAAATCTCTTTTCCGTCATAGAACATCTCTCTCAAGGAAGCACATTATGGCATGGAATGGGGGTGATGTCATTCATTCGTAACAGTCTAAAAAAATAGCTATTCTATTAAATGAAATATTTTTTGCCATCTAAGGATATTCCAACTCTCACTTCTCTATGTGACTACTAGATTGATTTTGCAGGCTAGATGTTGGCCTTCAAAACACTGTTTATCTTGTCAGTTTTCTTAATTCTGTTCCAGTTTGAAAAGGCCAATAAAGAGGAAAATGTGTGTGCCTTTATCTTTCATTTCTTTTTTACAGTCATACAAGGAAATCATCAGTTTGCATAAAAAACACCCGGTCAATTGGCATAAAAACTATGCGATAGCTTGCGAAAGGATGCTGCGGCTCCCTAAGGTGGATGTGGACCCCGAAGTGTTGTTGTCTGAAACAGTAAAACATTTCCTCCTCTATACGGAAAAAGCAGAGGACGATCCACAACGAGCGGATATTTTGCAGGCTGTAAAACACCTGAAGGCAGAGCTGCAGGGACTGAGAAAAATGAAAAGAGATTTGAAGTGGCGAGTTGTATAGAACCCTTTTGTGGACCTGCTTTCTGGAGTGTTAAAAGTTCTGAAATTGGGAGGTAAAATTGAATCAGTCCTTAACTACATCAGAACGTTCTGTAAAGACAACAGTAGTAATAGCAGAAGGAAATCAAGTGGTCTCCTGGATGACAATGTAGCACTGGTCTGTCTTTTGGTGTTGCCAAATGAAGAATTCTGGTACCCAGCATGAGTTTCACATTGATTTGCGTAGAAGAAAATGTTACCAAATTAAGCACTATGGGGAAATCCAAAATACCGTGCCTGCAAATACATCCATTGATTTTATTGGATATGTATAATTACTTCATAAATATATGAAATTCATTTCCCATTAACAATTCCATTTGTGGTCGAGTTCTAGCTATGTAAAATATTATTTTGTACTGTATTACACACTACTGAGAGGGGGGGGGACTCTATAATCAACAGGAGTTTGGGATAGAAGATCATTACCCTTCCTGAGTAAAGCCATGATTGAGTTACACAGGTTATCCAGAAAGTGCTGGTACAACCTTTATACCTTATGACACACTAACCCCTCCTGTAGCTGTCATAGATATGTATTCAAAGTGTTAGAAATGGTGTTAGCTGAACTACTCTTTCTTTCCTGTAGAGCCGAGCGAGTTGTTTACAATGAATCTGTATCAGGCTCAACGAACCAATAAAATTATCTACAAATGACCTAAAATAGCTGTTCTGTATTTTGTTTTATTATTGATTTTAACCCTTTTGCTTTGGTCCTTCAAGCTAAGTGCTGGGCCGTCACTGACAAGGTAGTACAAAGCTCTTGTTTCTGCAGGCCCTTGAGATATTTTTAGATTTAGAGAAGCTGTCACTGGTCCAACATGGAATCTTCGTCGAGGTGATTTTGGGGGAAGAAGGAGGTAGGTTGATTTTTTTTTTTTTAATTACAGTTGAGCAAAGCTACCATGGGGCTTGGAATGTTAGAATAAGTGGAGATTGAATAACAAATAGAGCGAAGAAGAAATGGTCAAAAGTGTACCATCTATTTATCACAAGGCGCTGCAATTCACTGTATGGATTCCAGTAGAGTGTGGGGGAGGGTGTGGGTGGGAGGGGGTGGATTCCAGTACTCTCTGTGTGTTCGATAGGTAATATATCTGTGTATATGTGAATCTGGACTCTTAGTCCACTTACCATTGTTGGTATTTCTCAGATATTCCTCATGTGGACCTCTCTGTTTTAAAATGTAACAGCTGAAATCCATTCCATAAAGGCTTAAATGCACACTAGGTACTTAAAGATCATACCTAATGTCTGAAAATTCCTATCTCTGGTTGTTACAATATTAAAAACCGATATTTTCCTTTTTTTCTTTCCATTCGGATTACAGGGTACATTTGGCAGCACGTTTTGAATAGCCAGTCTCTCGAGGTCTGTGGTAGGGGATGTGCAAACATGGAGAAGAATAGGAAAGTGTTGTTATAAAGCCACATAATAAATTGCAGGGTGGCTCACTGCTTGTCTACACGAAAACTTAGTCGTGAGCAAGTGGGGGTGAGGAATGCACTGAGCGCATGTGCTAAGAGTCCCTGTGGACTCTGCTACTGCCCACTACAAGTTCCCGTGGTCTGCATTCCCTTTGTTGCACTTGGATCTACCTCACGTTGAAATTGGAAGAGGGAGCTTGTAGTATATGGCAGACACTGAGTGCATGAGGGGCTAGTGTGGAGTTAATTTCCACCTCAGCATGCCATGAGTTCATGTAGGTAAGTCGTCAGGTGTGTGTTAATGCATAGTTTCGTAACTGACTAGATTCAGGTTGACAGTATCCTTTAATTTCCCTTTTGTCAATTACTGTACAAGTAAAGCCTTCATATAAAACTACAGTACATCATACATCCCTGCATACCAGCCTTTAAAAATAAGCATTATTCTCCTTTCTGGTGATCAGTTCTTCAGCACTATGGGTGACATTAGGCATTTCTTTTTTAAATGTTTATTCCCATATTAGTCTCAATCCATTCCAGCAAATGTAGTTTAGCAGTTTCTATCTTGGTTAGATGCCACTTCTTAGATGTATAGTTCTGAAGTAATTTGAAGCCTTTGTAGATTCTAATACCTAGTTGGAAGAAAGGAGAGAGCCACAGAGACATTTTAAACTGTGATCTGATTAAAATTATGTGTTGTATGTGTTTTAGTAAGTAGCGGTGCAAACAGGAGAATTCTCCCACAGAAAGATAGACTTCCTGGTTGGAAAAGTATTAGAAATGTGGGGCTAGTGAACAGCTAATTTAGGGGGCGGAGTGGGAATTCCCCTGTATTGTCTACTTTCCAATACAGACAGACAGACACTCACAAATGTGCATGGCTGCATATATACCTAGATAGAAAAACACTGTGTGTATCTAGAGCTGTAAATCACTGATTGTCATGAAGGTAAAACTGTGGAAGCGACAGACGTTTCAAGATTCCGTTTAGTGAAACCTTTTGCATTAGGTCTGCTGGTACTTTTATCCAAAGTGATTGTTCTGTGAACATTTCCAAGCCTTCATGCTGGACAGCAGCGCTCAGAGATGCTGGCAGAAGTTTAATTTTTATCGGCTCCTCTTAGGTGGCACCCTTAAGTTTATCAAACAAGCAAAGCTGATTTAGTCTTCGTTAGGCTCAGTTGCATGAATCGGTTGCCAAGTAAACAGGATTTTGCATTTTCCTAATTACTTTCATGTGTGTGTGTTACCTCTGTTGGTTCTCTTGCAGAACTGGTCCTAATAATTAGTCAGACTCCTGCTGCCTAAATGTAAAAAAGGAGACTTCTGAGGGTTTCTGTTATAAATTCATTTCTGTTACAAGCATCTTTTATACATATTACTAAAGGGAGCGCACTAAGAAATGCAAATAATAGTTCTTTATTTTATTATGACAGTTAATTAATAGCAACCTGTTTTAATGAATAAAGTCACTCCGAGTCCTTCAGCACTTCCTAAGTAGAGGCCAGAATCTGTAGGGATTCTTTTTCCCCCAATTGTATAGCTCCTAGACTCCAAGCACTATATAGGCCTCTGTATAGAAATGCTCACTAATGAAGAGGGAGGGCTAGAAGCTTGTCTGCATTCAAAGATCACTGGTGAGTCATTCAGCAAGAAAAGGCCCCTTACTAGGAATAGTCACAGTTCCGTGGCATTGTACTAGCGAAAGGGTCTGATCAAAGGTCTCCCGTGGAGCTTGCATGGTTCCTTTTCATACCACGACCATAATTAAAACCACTAATTCTCTTTTAAAATGCTGCAGGATGCCATGTAGGCATCTGTCTGGAGTGTCCTTTGTGATGTCATAAGCTGTTAAGGACCAGTGCCGAGGGCTTTTGAGTGAAATGCCAGTCACGAAGGTGCTTCAAGACAAGGGTGCCTCTAAAGGCTTGACAGGACCTTGACTACACAATTCGAGCTGAATTTGCCCCTTGTCAGCTGCCAGTAAATAAATCTCAAAGGGGGAAAAGCTGAAGTTTCATTACCTGATCCGTGGGGCTTTGTTGGTTTTGGCATCACACAGGGGAAGCTCTTGCCCCTCCATTCTCTGGGTTTGAAGATGTCCATTGGAGCCTGCCGAGTCTGGGTAGGGTTCAGCGCGGAACCTTTTGAAGAGTGTCAATAGTTGTAACAGTTCAGCTGTTAGGAAGACAAATAAATGGAGGAGCTCATTAATCCCCTTTTGGCTCTCGGTGCCTTTTGCCCTTTTATCACGGCCTTATTAGGCTCCTGCTCATCTTGAACCAGAAAAAAATGAATTGAAGTTGTTGAGTCCTAATTGGCAAAGACTTTTAATCATGGGCCAAGACATTTCATTGACTTGAAAGTAACTTCTCCACAGGGAGGGACCAAAGAAAATTTTTTTCTTGGTTTACCTTAAAACAAAACTAAACAAAAAACCCGGCAGGGTTCAATGCAGTGTAAAATGTTAAGGAAGCAATTGGTAAATGGGCAGGCAGGTCTGTGCTTACATTACTAGTTTATTTACTGCTTAAAAATAATTGGGGAGCCAGAATTCTAATGGAAAGATATTCTTTCCTGAAACTGAGTTGCGTTTTGGGTATCTGCATTACCTTTAAATACTTATGTAGGCAGTGTAAACACCTACTCGCTCAAAACAGCACACTTCCACAGAAGCTATTCTCCCCAAACTAGCGAATAATGTTTTATATGGTGGAAAAGTTGATATTAATCATTTGCGACCATTTATGCAACACATGAAGTATAAGGATACTGCATAGTTTCCATATGCCCAGTGATGATTGTGATACTGAGAGATCGTGTTACATCTAATAACTCTGATAGCTCATGAAACCAGGGGCTCTCATCCTTTTCAGACTATAGAGCCCCTTTCAAGAGCCAGATTTATCTTGCATAGTCCTAAGCTTCACCTCACTTACAAAATCAGACATACAAATATGGAATTGCCCCAGCACACTATTACTGACAATCTGCTTCCTTTCTACTTTGTACCCTATAATAATAAAATAAATCAGTTGGAACACAAATATAGTACGTGTCTTTCAGTGTTTAGAACAGTATAAACAAGTCACTGGCATTTTATGAAATTTTAGTTTGTACCAACTTTGCTGGTGCTTTTTATGCAGCCTGTTGTAAAACTAGGCAAGTATCTAGAGGAGCTGATATATGCGCTAGAAAACTTCTGCATCCCCCTAGGGGTAAACGTACCCCTGCACCAAACTAATAAAAAGGGTTTAAATCAATCAATCCATAACAGTAGGCACCTAGGTGTTTTATTGTAAACAACATTTTTATTTCAGCTGAAATTAAATACGACTTATAGAAAAATTTAAATAGAGAATTAATTTAAAGCTGTTTTCCTCCTTCCACGCGTTAAACAACAAATCATTGTTTGCATGTCTCAGAATGCTTTTAGGCTTATACTAAAAATGTGATGGTCCAGCACATCCTGAAAAAGATCAGGGTCACTCATCATGGCATAAAATCCTTTCTCTGATTTTCACGACTTAGCTTGTGTGTTTTGGAAATTTACCAGACTGGGCTTCAGCCTTAAGGATGGTATTTACAAGCTTAGATCTGAACAAAAAAAGTCCTGATGAGTTTCTGGCTTGCTTTAAGTCATCTGGTTAACTGCAGCACCCACTCAGAGAGGCTGGGGGTGGATTGTCTGGATTGCTCATCCTGACTCTTGTCACAAATGCAAAACGGCTCTAAAGCTTCTGCTCACAAATGAATGAGTCATGTTTCCAGGGAATTCTGGGAACATTTAAAGGACAAGATCTTGGCACATCATGACATGAGCAAACATGCAGCTAAAGCTTCTGCAGTGATCATGATATCAAATGAAGACATCATTGTCAGTACCCTCTAAAAGTCTGTTTAATTTGGATCTGCATTGCAAGCCTAATTCGAGCACCAGTCATACAGCAATGTTCTTACCTGGAGGTAGCCTAACATGCATATAAGTGAAGCGTTTTCCATATGAAATGTCTTTGCAATTCTTTAGTAAGTTTTTTTAAAAAAAAATTATTTCTAATCTCTTCCCAATAAGCCTGCATACAGTCTTGGGGCGAGATTTTATATTTGATGTAAAAGAATTACTGAATGCTAGTCTCAAAATAGTGACTATTTGCAAGTGTCAGACTCCATCCTAGTGACCAGGAAAGTTTGCTACTCTGAAAGCTCCATATTAATAGCAGGTCAGGGGCATTAGAGATGTTTAAAGTTGGTGTCCAGTATGGCTAGTGTCATAAATAATTTAAAACAAAATGAGTCTGAGTGTCAGGACCTAAATTTCTGCATGCAACCCAACTCATAAGGCATTTGGTTAAAGCCGAGTTGCTCAGATTCAAGGAGAATGGAAAACAATACTCGAATAGTAGCAATCTCCTTGCCATATGACCTCTCTTCATAAAGCTTTGAATGCTCTTAAATATGCCACCAGGCTATGTAAGCGTGAATCTCGAGAATGCTACAGATTGGCTGCATGATGGACCTGCTACACTTTTGCAACACCCCTTATTTGATATTTTTTGTATTTTTTTCTTTAACGTTGGACTTTTGATTCAGGAGCTCACACGGCGCATCCCTTAATTTAAAAGCCCCTTTACAATTGATGTTTAAGGGAAAGGTAGCCCCCATAGCTACCCTGAAAGGATGCCTGAGAGCATCTTGACTTTTTTGTGGCATGCAAAAATGTAACATTTCAGTAAAAACTTCTTTAAAAATGAGAGACCGAAGATGCAGACAAAGATCTGCCCCAATTTACAGCAGCTGAAGTTGTGGTTCAGATGTGTGCAATATGTTCTGTAGGGGGTGCTTTTTAATGCCAAATAATCTTATTTCCCTAATATACTGGGCTTAACTTACCTTGCAATTTTGCTTTTTGTATTGCAACAAAATGGTCTGATCTAGAGATGTGAATGGTATTGATCATCAGTGAATCTGATATTCATGACTGCTCTTCATCTACTCTAGTGTTTCACCCACGTGTTATTTTGCATAGGGTGGAATAAGATAGTTGGAATAAGATGGCATTAAGGAACATAAAGGTCATCCTACATAATATAGTGTAGGCTTATGATGTCTTTGCATTTAATATGTAGGAGAAATAAGGTAATTCATATAACATTTTTGTATGAACTAATTTCTTGCCAGTATGAAGAACACCACTTAGATGCTTAAACAAATGGTCCTGCAAAACCTTCTCTGAGACTTTGCAGATAGATTTTAGGTTGTGGTTCAACAGCAGGGAAAACACATTTTAAGAACCATACTAGATCATCTGATTCTTGGAGACTGATCAGTTGCATTAGCATGATTAGTCAATTCCACACTTAAAATCTTTTGAAGAATTGGGTTTGGTTTGGGTAGGAAAAGCCCATTTTTACAGTTGAAACAGTTTGGAACACCCATCATTCTGGTTTTAACTAAAGAGATTGTTTCAGAAAATGCGTGAATGTATCTCTCTCTTGTATGAGAAATTTTAGAATGTGGGTCCTAAAACTAGAACAGTACAGTAGTGTATCGGGGTGACCTGAATTGTTCATGGTTTTTCCTTTTTCCCTAAGATTTGCTTTGAAACTTTTCACTATGCATTTACATGTTCTTTTCTTCAGTTGTCATTATTTATGAGTAGTTCCTATTTAGACTTCCTGTTATGCAAAAATTAGCTGGTTAAAGTTTAACCTCAGTTATTGTTTGTTTTCCTGCCAGTACAATAAAAACCCATGTTGCTATGACAAATTTGTATAGTAAATTTGAGTCTGTGACAATATGTGGCTTTATAATATTTTCCTTGAAAAACTGAAAGCTAAAGTAGTACTGTATCCAATGTCTAGCAAGATTATTACATTAATGGCAGGTAATAGCCATAGAAAAGTAGATCTTCATTAAAATCCTTTTTTACTTCAGTCCTAATGTATGCTGTCCATCTACTAAAAAGTGCTAGCAGCGGTGATTTTAACAAGCTACTAGATACTTCATTACCTAGCATTACTGGTATAGATATTCACCAATCTGTTCTACTAGACTAGAAAACAAACTGCCCAGTGCTACTCATATTTACTATCTGAATATTATTTATGGTTCTGTCTCCTATTTCTGTTGTGCCTGATGTTCATTACTATGTTGACAACCCTTCTGTTGTAGGATTCTGCTAATGTAACCTTGTTTGGTCCTCTGGTTCCTGTCTTCTGCAATATGGTATTTAGTGAGCTACTGAAACACTCCAATCCTGGAAATACTGATGCGCCCAATTAACCTTACTCAAAAGAGTAAGTACCATTGACTTCAAGGAACTACTCACATGAGTAAAGTTTAACATTTGCATTAGTATTTCCCCATCAGAACATTTGTTTTTGATAAGATATATAAAGGAACCTTGCTATTTAGAAAGCTGAACTCTGGGGATCTTACTATATCCTTGAGATTTTCAGTTTTAAAAAAAAAAAAATTAGTTACATTGTTTAGTTCATTTTAATTCTTCCTGCAGCCACGGGTTGTTGAGAGAGACTGGATTTGTGAAGAGTGGGTGACCCTTAAATACCATAATTCTTTCCAAAGATGGTTTGGGATTTTGCGGTTTCATTAGCATTTGCGGATAGAAATATATTTAAATTGGCATTATGCTAAGTGATTATTCTTACAGGATGTGAAATTAAATAAATTTTGCACAGCATGAAATTATTCCTGCCACGTACTGAGTTTGGTGGCAGATCTTTTGGTTTGGACTGTGAACAACACCGGATGGCAAAGAAACAAAACAGGGTGGTGGGGGGGGAAACCCTACCAAAGGTAAGCCCTTGTAGCAAAATATTTTTGGCTGGATCAAATATTAAACCTGCTAGTACAGATTTCACGCTTTGCATTCAGAAAGCAGATGCAGAGGGATGATGCCAAAAATTAATGAGAAATAATATTCCTTGCCTTGTGTACTCTGTCCAGTAGAGGGCACAACAGATAAGTATTGTGTGCATTTCTGACTTCAGTGGAGACTGATAAGACTTGTTTGTAATTGCTTCTGTAAAAATATGTAGCTGCATGCTTGTGTGCTTATTTACATTTTGGAATGTGATTCAGAATGTAGGCTTTAGATTTATAACTTTGTTTTGATCTATCAATGCATAGGAGACTTTCATTTGTTGCAAGCTTTATGTTTACAAATCCACCGTGTTAAATTGCTGGATTTAATTGTTAAAGTACAGTGAATTATTGCAATTATTGTTGGCTATTTTTAAATATAAATTCAAACCTTCCAAACTTTAATAGGAAAAAGCTTCCAGAATCGTTTTTACTGACTTTTCAGAAAGCATAAATGAAAATTTCAATTAAATATTATAAGACTAGGAGATGGGGAAAATGCAGAAAAAGGAATATGTCATTTACATTTTATTTAGGAAAAAGTATGCTGTGTGTGTGTACACACAGTTTTCAAAAATCACAGTTACATTACTTAATTCATTTTAATTCTTCCTGCAGCCACGGGTTGTTGAGAGGCTGGGTTTGTGAAGAGTGGATGACCCTTAAATACCAGATACAATACATTATATAATAAAAAAATGATCAATAAATATTGGAAAAAAGTAAGTCTTTGCAATTTCAAAATTAAATACAATCCTATAAAGAGTGGCTGATCTATTATATTTTAATTAGAAAAGAAATGAAAAAATGATTTAAGGAAAAAAAGAATTTTAAAGGTTTAAAAAACACAAGTTTGTAAAAGTATTACATTAAAGCTGTAATGAAAATGGGAAGAAAATGTTTGGAATAGATTTAAATTCATTGTCTTCATTTAAAAATAGACGTTTTCCTTAAATGCAGTCCTTTCAGTAAACAGTATTAACTAGGGAGAAATGTAGTTTTCTGAATAACTAAATTTTGTAACTCATATAGTTTTCATTAAGAACATTATATAGTATGGCATATGTTAAACATGTACTCCATAGTAAAACGTAATTTGGAGATCCTAGTTCTTAAAAACGTTAACAATGACTTCTAGTGCCCATAACTCTTGCAATTGTAGAAGTGTGGCGGGGGGGACGGATATGAAAACAGTGACATCCTCTAACAAGCCAAATTAACCCAAGCCTAGTCCCTTTTGTAACTGCAAAGCTTTAGCAAAGATTTTGCAAAAGATGGAGCTTACCTTTGCATTCTTCTCGAAAAAACTCTGAAAAATACCCACTCCCCCCAGGTCCCTTTAAATGTGAACGAGAGAATCTTTGGGACAAATGAACATTCCATGTAAACAAGCTTAGCACTTTACTTGCATAGACCAAAAAAAAAATCTGTTTTCATGTTTTAGTCGGTTTCAGATGAATTGTTTAAATCAATGCTTCCCAATTTCGTGAGGTGGTGATTTGGTTGTGTTGTAATTTTCCCAGGTGTATGAGGCAAATAAGATTTTTGAAATATCTCTGTGGAGTGATTTAAAAGCTAGAGAATCTGAGAGATTGTAAGTCTGTGTTTTAAAAACAAAAAACAACAACCAAAATCACACGGCAGTTTAGAGCTGCTAATACTGAGCTGATTAAGAGTAGCGGTTATATAAAGAGCAGCCAGAGTCCATATTGTAAATAAGTTTTGATTGCATCCGTGAGAAATATCACTCTAAAGCTTTTGAAGGGTTGGTGTAGCTTATTGGGTTTTGCGGTGAATTAAGTGCAGATGAAAGGTGCAGGATTGCCAACTCCCCACAACCATGCTTGCACATACGTGTCACCCAGGTCTGTGAGAGCTAGGTCTGTTCTGGTGCAGTTCTAACCAGTGGATACTTGATCCAGTGTAAGGTAGGTCAGGAGAAGGGGGGTTGGGTGTTCGATCCTCTTTCAAAGTTCATCTGTGGTCAGGTATGATGTGGCCACGACAGTCCTGAGATAACATTAATTTAAGAGCCATGATGGTTTACCGACCACTCTGCTAGCAAGTAGGAATCGTGACTGCCGCTGTCGTGCTTGGAGTTGGAAACAACTTTGTGCTGGGTGACTCCAGGAGATGGGTGGTGACCTTTGTGTTCTAATTTGGCCAGGGGCTGCAGACAGGCTCCTGGGCTAGATGGACCTTTGGTCTGACCCAGTATGGCTGTTCTTCTGATCTGCGTGGTGTCTGACCCAGTATGGCCGTTCTTCTGATCTGCGTGGGATAGGTTTCACGAGCGCTGTGGGATAGACCTGAGCACTTTCTGTCTCATGTAGGTGGGCACGTGCTAAGGTTCAGCGCTGGTGTATAAAGCTGAATAAGCCACTTGCTAGGGCAATACAGTCCTCTTCTGTCCACAACCAGGTATATGGTGGGTCCTAGAAGACCTCGTAGGTCTCTCTGATATGTGGAGGACCAACGGTACTGAAAGGAGGCTGCAGCACTAGGCAGTGACGAGATCTGACTTTGTCTGGAAGTTGAAGTTATTCTTTTCCTCTCCTACAGTGTCTACAAGCAGCAGGGCAGTGATGAGCTTGCAGGGCCTTGCTGGTGTCTCCACATGGAAACAAAACGGAGCCAATCTTGCTTTGAAGAACTTTTTGTCTACTTCACAAATAGCATCTCTCTTGGCGGGCTGGCTGATGTCCTATGTAGCACGTCAGCGAAAGAAAAGGAGCCATCGTTCTCCTTTGCTTTGTCTGAGTTTCATTCAGGGCGTCAGGAGTTTCCAGAGACGTGGTCTGGATGGGCATCCCTCGGCTCCTTCAAGCTGTCTTCCTCTCCTGGCTGGGGAATGCTTCAGGCTATTAGAAGTCAGCATTGTTGGTGTTTTGTTTCACGAGGACAAGCTGCTCACCCCCTTAAAGCAAGTGGTGGAAAACTTCTCCTGTTAATCTTGCTGATATGCCCGTGTCTCAGATCTCCTCTTCCTGCAGCGGATTGTTGGGGAAAGCCTAGCATTAGACCTGGGCTCATTGTGCAGAATGCATTTATTTGTTCCTAGTGATGAACAAACTTCAGGCCTCCTTGCTCAGACTATTAGGTCTTTCTGTGATGTGTGGCATATTTGATTATGAAACACTTACGCTTCACTCCTCCCCATGACCTGTTGGGGATGAGTGGGCTGGGTTTACAGGGGTGCCATTCATTCTTTTTCAGGAAGACTGAAAGAGCTGCTTGGGTAATTTCGTCCTCAACCCCTTAAGAGGCTCACCTGCAATGCTCCTTCCTATCATGCCATCTGTTTAAGGTGTATGTGAAGCTGCAGTAGGAGGCGGAGAACATAAGAACAGCCATACTGGGTCAGACCAACAGTCCCATCTAGCCCAATATCCTGTCTGCCGACAGTGGCCAATACCAGATGCCCCAGAGGGAGGGAACACAACAGATAATCCTCACATGATCTCTCCCCTGTCACCAATTTCCAGACAAATAGAGGCTAGGGACACCATTCCTACCCAACCTGGCTAATAGCCATTGATAGACCTAACCTCCATGAGTCTTTCTAGCTCTTTTTTGATCTGTTAAAGTCCTAGCCTTCACCACATCCTTTGGCAAGGAGTTCCACAGATTGGCTGTGCACTGAATGAAGAAAAGCTTCCTTTTGTTTGTTTTTAAACCTGCTGCCTCTTAATTTCATTTGGTGACCCCTAGTTCTTATATTGTGGGAATAAGTAAATTACTTTTCCTTATTCACTTTTTCCATACCAGTCATAATTTTATAGACCTCTATCATATGCCCCCTTAGTCTCCTCTTTTCTAAGATGAAAAGTCCAAGTCTCTTTAATCTCTCTTCATACGGGACCCGTTCCAAACCCCTCATCATTTTTGTTGCCCTTTTCTGAACCTTTTTCAATGCCAATGTATCTTTTTTGAGATGAGGCGATCACACCTGTATGCAGTATTCAAGATGGGGGCGTACCATGGTTTTATATAGAGGCAATAAGGTATTTTCTATCTTATACACTATCCCTTTTTTCCCCATGATTCCTAACATGCTGTTTGCTTTTTTGACTGCCGCTGCACATTGAGTGGATGTTTTCAGAGAACTATCCACAATGACTCCAAGATCTCTCTCTTGAGTAGTTGTAGCCACATTAGACCCCATCGTATTGTATGTGTAGTTGGGATTATTGTTTCCTATGTGCATTACTTTACATTGATCCACATTAAATTTCATTTGCCATTTTGTTGTCCAGTCTCTTAGTTTGGTGAGATCTTTTTGAAGTTCTTCACAGTTTGCTTTGGTCCTAGAGTGTTGCTTTGGATTGCAGTTGTGTCCCGTATGCTCAGCTAGCACGGGGATGAGTGTGGTGTCGATATCAGTGCTGATGAGTCTCACCCCCATCTGAGTTCTAAAGTCACCTTGCCTGGTACTGGGAAGAAGTTGTGGTTCTGAATGAAAGCCGGCTGGCATGAATTCTGTAAGAGTGAGATGGGCAAGGAAAAACTCCGCAAGGCATGGATTTGGGGGGGCTATGGCTGACCCCTTCACTGAAGTATATCCACCCTTTGTCTCCAGTGTTCACTCTTAAACTTGAACTGTGTTTATTGCTGTCCCTAGATTTTCAGACAGCATTAGTGACCATTAAACGATAATGTGGACCTTGCCACAGACAACAAATGCCTTTGTCACCTGGCTGGGCTAGCAGGTGATGCCCTTGCAAAATATTTGGAAGGTACCTCCGGTGCCGAACGTGGCTGGCTGCTTTGTTAGTGGATCGCGCCAGTGTGGAAAGAACATCGGAGCATTCCACACGGACTCCCCATCTGGATGCAGTCTCAGGTGCCAAGTTAGTGGGAAAGCCCTGAATCGCTTGCGTCCTGGCTGTCTGAAAACGCACCTCTGCGACTGGGCCCTCTGGTCTCACCACAAAGCCCTGGCTGCGTCCTCCCAGGATGGAGCTCTGAGCGAAGGACCACCCAGCAGTTTTGGAAGGCATCTGTGGTCCTTGGAGTTCCCTCCTTCTGGTGCTTTCTTGCAGCTCAAATGTGATGGAATTTCAGGTGTAGCTCAGGTGAGTTTTTTCCCCTTTTAATGTATCCGGGTCCTATCCATATGCTTTGGTTGGCTCTTGCTTTTCCTTGATTGGGTCACGTTGCAAAGCGCGTTCGGCCCATCAAACCTGAATAGCGGTGGTAGAGGCTGGGAGTTGGTTTGAAGGGAATGCGCTGTTGCCTACAGTAGTTAGTGGTAGAGTCTGGAATGCATCCCGAGATCACAGCGAGAAGCCCAATGTAAATAAACAGCTGGTACTAGAAGGGCGAGAGTTGCATAACTGGCACCACCCTCCCCTGCAAATGTGACCTGGATCTAGGGCTGACAGGACTCGGTGCCGGCTCAGTCATTGGCCTCTCTGATTTTGCTGACAGGGATGGGATGATAAGGCAAGGTTGTGAGGCTGTTCCTTGTCCGGTAGGAAATGGACTGTGAACTCAAGCTCTTTACAGGCAAGTCCCTGTGAGTTGGCAACAGCTTTTGGTGGGTCCTTGTAGCCAAGAAGGCTAACGGCATATTGGGGAGCATTAGGAGGAGCACTGCCAGTTGGGGAAATTATTCCCCTTTAGCGAGGCCGCATCTGGAATACTGCGTGCGATTCTGGGCCCCCTTACAGAAAGGTTGTGGACGCACCAGAAAGCCCAGTGGAGGGCACCAAAAATGATTAGGGAGCTGAAGCACATGACTTATGAGGCGCAACAGAGAGATTTGGGCTTATACAGAGGAGAAGAGTGAGGGGGGATTTGATAGCAGCCTTCAACTTCCTGAGGGGAGGTTCCATAGAGGAAGAAGAGAGTCTTCTCTCAGTAGTGACGGATGGCAGAACAAGGAGCAATGGGCTCAAGTTGCAGTAGGGGAGGTCTAGGTTGGATATTAGGAAAAACCGTTTCCCTAGGAGGGTGGGGAAGCACTGGAATGTGTTCCCTAGGGAGATGGTGGAATCTGCATCTGAGTCCCGGCTTGACAAAGCCTTGGCTGGGATGATTGAGTTGGGATTGGTCCTGCTTTGGCAGGGGGTTGAACTCGATGACCTCCTGAGGTCTCTTCCAGCCCTAGGATTCGGTCACTACATAACAAGGCCGGGTTTGAACCTATGAAGCAGAGGTGAAAGGCTGTTTCCATTATCAATCCCTTCCTGAGAGGTTGCATTTAACAGTCTCCCATGGACTGAGGGTGTCAGTCCTGTTGCTAGAGCTGCCCTATGGAAGGGCCTCCAAGACACTGGTGTTCCCAACATCCTCCTGAGGTCAATTCAAGGTCTATATGTTGATTCAGGATGACTGGTGTGATGGGGGGGAGCCCTAGGTGAGATGGGGGGCCCTAGGTGAGACAGGTTTTACAGAAGATCTGGGCTGAAGCAGGCTGTTGTGCTGTACAACGGATTCGCTTCTTGAGCATGTCTCCAAAAATGCTAGCGTAGCCATCGGCACAATTTCTTTTACCAACCTGAATTATGCGGGTGATGTCGCCCTGTCTGGCCAGGATACAGATGACCTTAAAGATGCGCTAGAGAGTTTTGTCCAGTATGTGGCAGCTGCCCATGGGCTAAGGCAGTGGTTCCCAACCTGTGGTTCCCCGTCCCTCTTCTCTTCTCTTCTCTTCTCTTCTCTTCTCTTCTCTTCTCTTCTCTTCTCTTCTCTTCTCCTGTGCACACCAGGACACAGCTTGCTTTTGATCTCAATCCCCGGATGCTAAGGGAGCGAGGGGAAAGGGCTTGCGTGCCGTGCATGCCTCTCATACCTGGCTGATGTGTGAGAGGCATACAAGCACTTTCCTCTCACTCCTTTAGTGTCCGGGGAACAGGATCAAAAGTAAGCCGGGACCCAGCATTCATGGCTGCTGCCCCTCTGCACTCCTGAAGTTCCGCCCTTGACCCCAAACCTCCCGAAGTTCCTCCTTTGAACTTTGTGAACGTTTACATTTGAACTTATACATTTCAAATATTTATCAAGAAATGGAACGCATGAAAACAGCTATATTGTTTGGGGGGAAGGGTCCATATCTATGATGAGACGCACCAAGTAAGAGCCAGCTGGTATTATCAGTGGAGTCCTTAGCATTCCTGATTCATTTAAGTGAAGAAGAACTATCAAGAAGAACAAGCATGGGACAAGAGGACAGAAACCCTCATATTCTAATCCTGGCTTTGCCACTGATTCCTTGCATGACCTTGGACAAGTTGTACAAGTTTCCTGTGCCTCCCACTTAAATGGGGACAGTGATACTTAGCTACCTCACACATATTATGAAGTACAAAAGATGTGAAGTGCTACATATTATCTATGGCTTACCACGGCTAGTTTCTCTGTAATACACAAACGATAAGCCTGAAGAGTAGCACTGAAAGACAGCAGAGGAGCAATTCACTCATTCTTATTGGTCTTATTTGTTTGTCTGGAAATGGGTGATAGGAGAGGAATCATGTGAGGATTACCTGTTGTGTTCCTTCCCTCTGGGACATCTGGTATTGGCCACTATTGGAAGACAGGATTCTGGACTAGATGGACCCAGTATGGCCATTCTTATGTTCTAAGTTCTAATATATTGAAAAGTGGTCCGTATGTTCGAAAATGTTGGGTAGCACTGGATTAAGGATTTCTTGGCCAAAAAAGAAAAACAAAAGTCCAGCATGTCCATGCCAAAGCTATGATACAGGGCATCTGGGCTAGCAGACAAATTGTGGAAATAGTGCAAGATTTCATTTACCTAAGCAGGAAACTGCCATTAACTGGGCCCAGCCAGCCAGATATCCTAAACTAAAGGGAATCAGTCTAGTAGCCCCACTTGTGAAGGGTCTATATGGCGCTTGAAAACAAAAGAAGTTGAAATGTGGATTCGAGAGCACGAATGCATCAAACCTGCATATTTCCAGTCT